GGAAACAGGAAGACCGACCATATTTGGAACAGTCGCCATGGTAACGCTGGAGGATGTTTTAAATCTCTCTCTCTAGTCTCTCTTTCTGGTCTCTCTCTGTTCTCTCTCTGTTCTCTCTCTGGTCTCTCTCTGTTCTCTCTCTGGTCTCTCTCTGGTCTCTCTCTCTGTTCTCTCTCTGGTCTCCTCCTCCTCCTCCTCATCATCTTCCTCCTCCTCCTCCTCTTCCTCCTCCTCTTCCTCAGTTTTTAGAAAGCCTCATTTACTCTCCCGCTCCCTGGAAGTCTGTCTCCTCCTCCTCCTTCTCTTCATCCTCCTCTTCCTCAGTTATTAGAAAGCCTCATTTACACTCCCGCTCCCTGGAAGTCTGTCTCCGCCTCCCTGGGGTCTCGTGCCGGCCCCTCGACCCAGAAACTCTTCCATTTGTCTGTATGAGCCCATGTGGGTTTCTGGATCACAGCCCATTTCTCCAAAGAAATTACCAAAATATAGAATGCATTTAGAGGTTTGTGCGTCGGCGAGACAGGCCCCAGACGTGTCCTTGGAACAGAACGGCTCAGATGTGACGATAGTGGAAACCATTCATATTCATGGGAGTTTAGGACGGAACGGTCTAGACTCAGGGACCAGCGACAGCACAGGGACCAGCGAGACACACCAGGAATCACTTTATAATCAGATAAATGTCATTCTTTGTCGTTGTGGGTTTGGGACTGGAACTATTAAGCCCAGAACACGGTCACTGGTCCTGGTTTGTCGCACAGGGGTGATGTGTTCGCAACAATAACTCGTTTTAAGGCTGTAAAACTCCTCACATGGTTTTTCTAACTGCAGGACGAACCAGGACTAAACAAGGTCTAAAGCAGGACTGAACCAGGACTAAACAAGGTCTAAAGCAGGACTGAACCAGGACTAAACAAGGTCTAAAGCAGGACTGAACCAGGACTAAACAAGGTCTGAAGCAGGACTGAACCAGGACTAAACAAGGTCTAAAGCAGGACTGAACCAGGACTAAACAAGGTCTAAAGCAGGACTGAACAAGGACTAAACAAGGTCTAAAGCAGGACTGAAGCAGGACTGAAGCAAGACTAAAGCAGGACTGAAGCAGGACTGAAGCAGGACTGAAGCAGGACTAAACAGGGACTAAAGCAGGTCTAAAGCTCAAACGTTTATAGTTGTATGTGTAATTTCACACTCTAAAACATGAAATGCTCAAGTCAGTGTTTTCAAGATCATGTTAGAGGGTCTAGTCTACTAAACTAGTCTCTCTCTGGTCTCTCTCTGGTCTCTCTCTGGTCTCTCTCTCTGGTCTCTCTCTCTGGTCTCTCTCTGGTCTCTCTCTGGTCTCTCTCTGGTCTCTCTCTGGTCTCTCTCTCTGGTCTCTCTCTCTGGTCTCTCTCTGGTCTCTCTCTGGTCTATCTCTGGTCTCTCTCTAGTCTCTCTCTCTGGTCTCTCTCTGGTCTCTCTCTGGTCTCTCTCTGGTCCCTCTCTAGCCACATACCAAACACCAGGAGAATCCATACCATCTGGGACTGCATTTGTCTCTGCAGGAGGAGAAGGGGGGGGGGGGGGGGGGGGGGGGGGATCGTGCTGTGCTGAAGCTAAATTGTGGGGTTGCCAGATTTGAGGAACTGCGAAAGGCAACGGTCACTTTTCCAAAACAACTCCAGAGACTGAGTCCAAAAGAGACGAGAGGAAGAGAGAAGAGAACCAGGACTGAACCAGGACTGAACCAGGACTGAAGCAGGACTGAACCAGGACTGAACCAGGACTGAACCAAGATTGAACCAAGACTGAACCAAGACTGAACCAGGACTGAACCAAGACTGAACCAAGACTGAAGCAGGACTGAAGCAGGACTGAAAAAGGTCTAAAGCAGGTCTAAAGACGGTCTAAAGCAAGACTAAAGCAGGTCTAAATCAGGACAAAAGCAGGTCTAAAGCAGGACTAAAACAGGTCTTCTTGACGAGGACTAAAACACTACTAAATCAGGTCTAAAGTAGGACTAAAGTAGGACTAAAGTAGGTCTAAAGCAGGACTAAAGCAGGACTAAAACAGGACTAAAGCAGGAATAAACCAGGACTAAACCAGGTCTAAAGCAGGACTAAACCAGGACTGAACCAGGTAGAAGTTTATTAGTCTGTTGTATAGTTGTATACAGTAGTTGTATATTTGTATATTTATATATTTGTATAGTTGTGTAGTTGTATAGATGTGTATTAGTCTGTTGTGTAGTTGTATAGTTGTGTATTAGTCCGTTGTGTAGATAAATGTGAACAGAGTTGTGCCTGGTTTGTGTCTGTGTAGGTCACTGCTCCTCATGTATCCTTCAGTCAGGCTTTATAAACAGCAGCTCTCCCGTCCCCCCTCCTCTCCTCCTCCCCCCTCTCCCTCCCCTCCCCCTCCTCCCCCCTCCCTCCTCCTCCCCCCTCCCTCCCCTCCACCCTCCCCCCTCACCTCCCCCTCCCCTCTCGACTCGTCCTCCCTCAGATTAATTGACTAAATGCATTTTAAAGTCCTCATCTCCTCCAGCAGCCGCTCCGTCCAGCGCCCACAGCTGACAAATGGGACTTTGCTTTTGCTTCTGGGGCAGATGTGTGTTCATTCTACAGTCTGACAGTGCAGGACAGAGGAGCAGATGTGTGTTCATTCTACAGTCTGACAGTGCAGGACAGAGGAGCAGATGTGTGTTCATTCTACAGTCTGACAGTGCAGGACAGAGGAGCAGATGTGTGTTCATTCTACAGTCTGACAGTGCAGGACAGAGGAGCAGATGTGTGTTCATTCTACAGTCTGACAGTGCAGGACAGAGGAGCAGATGTGTGTTCATTCTACAGTCTGACAGTGCAGGACAGAGGAGCAGATGTGTGTTCATTCTACAGTCTGACAGTGCAGGACAGAGGAGCAGATGTGTGTTCATTCTACAGTCTGACAGTGCAGGACAGAGGAGCAGATGTGTGTTCATTCTACAGTCTGACAGTGCAGGACAGAGGAGCAGATGTGTGTTCATTCTACAGTCTGACAGTGCAGGACAGAGGAGCAGATGTGTGTTCATTCTACAGTCTGACAGTGCAGGACAGAGGAGCAGATGTGTGTTCATTCTACAGTCTGACAGTGCAGGACAGAGCTAAAGCCAATCACGCTCTCTCTCAGGATCAAAAACACCGGGTTTTATCTTCAGATTTGTGCCAATGTTGTGTGTTTGGGAGAAAACTGTGCTTTGTAAAGTACTCTGTTACTTTGGAGAAAGTAACTGTAATCTGGATACTGAGAATACTTTTATGTTTTTAATTATTATGTTATTATTGTTTCTATTCATTGTAATTTTCTGTTTATTTATAAAACTTAAACAAGGCATATTTCTATATATTTAAAACCAAAAGCTTAATAAAAAAACATTTAACAACCAGGAAAAAGTATGAAAAAGTAATAAAGTATGTAACCCTGTGATTCTCAAAAAGTAACTGTAATCTAAATACTTAACTAGACTTTAGAGTACTTTGCAGTGTCTAACTATATATATAGGTCTCTGATGGTCTCTGACGGTCTAAAGCAGATTTAAAGGAGGACTAAAGCAAGTCTAAAGCAGGTCTAAAGCAGGACTAAAGCAGGTCTAAAGCAGGACTAAAGCAGGTCTAAAGCAGGTCTAAAGCAGGACTAAAGCAGGACTAAAGCAGGTCTAAAGCAGGTCTAAAGCAGGTCTAAAGCAGGACTAAAGCAGGTCTAAAGCAGGACTAAAGCAGGACTAAAGCAGGTCTAAAGCAGGACTAAAGCAGGTCTAAAGCAGGACTAAAGCAGGTCTAAAGCAGGACTAAAGCAGGACTAAAGCAGAACTAAAGCAGGCAGAAAATAAGAAAACATTTGACATTCACAAATTATAAATTATATACTGACCGAAAGGGTTAGGCTGAAGTTTAACACTTATTTCGCCTAACCCTATTAACAAATAACAAAATTACATTTCTTACTTATACAAATGTAACAAAATTATACAGTATACAATGTAGCGGATCCACAGAGCTTACAGTATTTCCAAATACAATTTTCATTGTAAGAAAATAAATAGTTTGTACTAATTCAAAGAAATATTCCTTGTAATCACATTATATACATAAACACAGAATATGACACATATAGTATATAATATATATATCTGTACATGGATTTACACACATTCATACATATATATATATATATATATATATATATACATACACACACACACAAACATACACCTATACCTGTACCTGCATACACACAGGTTATTATTATTATTATTCTAGTGATTTATACTTTTCTTCAACAATAGCCTTAAAGCGCTTTTTAAATGTGTGAATTGAGGTGGAACATTTGAGTGGCTCATCCAGGCCATTCCAAAGATGAACCCCCCTGACAGAGATGCATCTACTTTATAAACTGGTTCTCACATTTGGTTTCTTAAAGACATACACACCTCTTAATTCATAAGGACTCTCTCTAGGTTTGAACCTCTCCTGTATGCGCTGAGGGAGCAGGTGGTTATGGGCTTTGTACATGAAAATCGCAGTGTTTAGGTCAACAAGGTCATGAAATTTTAATGTTTTTAATTTGATGAAGAGGGCGTTTGTAGGAGCATAAAAATCTGCATAATTAACTATTCTGACAGCCTTCTTTTGGAGCAAAACAACTGATTGGACGTTGGATTTGAAATTGTTTCCCCATATTTCGACACAATAATTGAGATATGGAAGTATGAAAGAGTTGTACAACATTTTAAGTGCATTTTGGTTTACAGAGTATTATACTTTGTGCAACATTGCTATAATTTTGATAACTTTGTTTTCATTACATTTATGTGTAGCTTCCAATTAATTTTCTCATCGATATGAATTCCTAAAAACTAGGGTTGGGCGATATTTTTTTTGTACCGGTATACCGGTATAAGTAAATTAAATGATAAGAAAATGCCTTATACCGGTGAAAACAATCATTTAACACTGAAAACAGCGAGCGGAAGACACGTTTGTGTGCGGCGCACTTTGATGATGCATCTGCGCGGCACGTGTAGCAGAGCGGCGTGCAGGGACAACAACAACAGAGCAGAGAGCAACCATGGCTGAGTGCGGCGGTGAAGACCATGGTGAAGACATGCAGATTGTAGAAGACATTGTGCCAAAACGCGGAGCTACCTCAAACATATGGGAGTAGTTTGGGAACTAGATAAAAAGAAGCAATTGTTAACTATCGACAGTGGATCTAATGTTGTGAAAGCAGCTGCCCTAAACAACTGGACTCGAGTGGCTTGCTTCGGACACACTCTCTCTCTCTCTCTCTCTCTCTCTCTCTCTCTCTCTCTCATAGTGCCATTGGTAAGCTTTATTTACTGTCATTCACTTTACTTCAATGCATGTGTTTGTCTACATTGCAATATAATTACAAATAAGTTATAATTACATAATTATAGAAACGCAAAAGGATACAAAAAATATATACAGTATTTGATCATTTTGACTATATTGGGATTAGGAAACATAAGCCAAAGTGATCAAATAATTATTTGATAATGCTACACTTTTTATATTACAAAGGACAAACTTTTATATATTTTACAAATTACAAATGTTCACCTTTATTACATGTTGCCTGCAATTTTCAGTATGTACAAAACAGAATTCTCTACAATTCAGTTTTGTTAATACGTTTTATATACAATAGCTGTATTACACATTTTGCTGCCAATAAATCAGTAAATGCACTTTGAGGCAAGTGTGTTTAAAATTATCAGTGCTAAGTTTTTATAGCTTTTATATAAGGCTTTGTTAAAATTATCATATCGTCATATCGTGATACATACCAACAAAAATCGTGATACATGCTGAGGCCCATATCGCCCAACCCTACTAAAAACTTTGTTGTGTGTACTCTTTCTATTTCCCTATCGCCAATTTTTATGTGACATTGAGTGTTGATTTTCTTATTTCCATAAATCATATACTTAGTTTTATTCAAATTGATTGACAGCTTGTTGTCATCAAACCATTCTTTTAGTTGGGAAAGTTCCAACTCTACAGTTTCTAGGAGCTGTCCAAGATCTTGCCCAGAACAGTACAAGCTCGTATCATCAGCAAACATAATGCAGTTTAGTTTTTTAAAAACTTCGCAGATATCATTTATATACATTATAAACAGTTTGGGTCCCAGTACAGAGCCTTGAGGAACTCCATGAGTTATGTTCATTTTATCAGAGTTTATGTTGTTTATATGGACGTACTGTTCTCTGCCACCAAGATAACTTCTCAACCAATCATGTGCAACACCTCTGACACCATATCTCTCCATTTTCTTTAAAAGTGATGTGTGGTCTATGGTATCAAAGGCCTTGCTAAGGTCAATGAAAACACCAACCGTAAATTGCACTTTATCAATTGCGGTTGTTACCTCCTCCACCAGTTCCATCACTGCCATAGAGGTGGACCGGTTTGATCTGAAGCCATATTGCTGCTCGCAAAGTAAATGGTGATTATCAATGAAGGAATCCAGTCTGGTTACAAAGATTTTTTCTAGAATTTTCGAGAATTGTGGCAGTAATGATATTGGCCTATAGTTTGTACACAGATGTTCATCTCCACTCTTAAAGATGGGTATGACTTTTGCAGTCTTCATTTTATATGGGAAGACACCTTTGAGAAAAGAAAGATTACAAACATAAGTGAAGGGAACAACTATATATTCAACAATTTCCTTGACCATACACATGTCTATATCCAAACAATCCGTTGACTTTTTATTTTTGAATGAATTTACTATTTCAATTATTTCATTCTCTTGTACTGGGGTAATGAAAAATGATTGTAGATTATTTTGAATAGGTTGCTCACTATTCACTATTGTTTTACTTTTATGAGCAATTTCATTCACTAGCGTGGGTCCAACATTCACAAAGAAATTGTTAAATAAATTAGATATTTCCTTTGTATTATTTATTGTTTGGTCCTTGTCCAAAAAATATATTGGATATTCCTTCTTTTTAATGTCTTTTTTAATAATACTATTTCATACTTTCCATGTTCCTTGTACATTATTTTTATGTTGATCTAATAGGTTACAAAAGTATGTTCTTTTGCTGCATTTTATAATTTTTTTATATCTCTGTTCATCATCTTTGGTTCTGCTTTTTATACATTTTCTATAGAGACAATTTTTCTTCTTACATGATTTAAATATTCCTCTTGTAATCCACGGTTTATCTTCTCTAGTTGTTTGCTTTATATACAATTTCCTAATTGGACAGTGCTTTTCATATAATTTTAACAGGGTATTAATAAAGGCTTCATATGCCTCGTCTGGGTCTGTTGAGTCTTGGACCACACTCCAGTCCTGAGCACATAAATCAGCCTTAAATGTTGCCATGGCCTCTGGTGTCCGATGTCTGATGTATTTATACTGTGCCACTTTTTTCAAAAAAGTGCTTAAAGATGCTGAAGATGGGTAGATGATCACTTATGTCGTTAAGAAGTAACCCTG